CTATAAATTTCTTCAAGAGAATCAACTTTAATTGTTTTTGCTGTATTATTATTTTACAGTCAGATAATTGGACGTTTATTTTTTTATTGAGGGTTTTCTTTGTTTTTACCTGATTTGCCAGACTAATAAAATATATCAGAGTAAGTCATAAGAAATGAAACTTTATTAATTAAAGTTTTTTTTTAATTCTTTAGATTATGTATGTTCTAAATGCTACATAAAACATAATTTGGAAAAAGTAATTTCTATTTCTATATAAATAATTTGTTATATGTTATGATATATTTATTTTTCCAATAAATACTGACAGAGATGGACCAAGTTTTGAATTTTGGGCTCCTTCTGTAACTGAGTTTGACACCCTGCTAATAAAACACGAGTCATGTTCTCTAAACCTAACCCCTCAGAAAAAGATCCAAGATCAAATACTGGACTCTGATGAGAAACTCAGGAGTTGATAAGCAAGACAGCAAAGTTCAGAGGATCAAACCTCATGCAGGCAATCAGAAATAACAACCAAGGTCACATACATTCATGAAGAAAGAGGAGCTGAAAACTAAAGCTTATGGAAGAGAGAAAACAGTCAAAAACCTGTAAAGAACAAAGAGGTGAGGTTGAGGTGAAACAAATGTGAAGAGTCAGGAAATAAAAACCTTATTCTCTCTTTTGTTTTACTGTTTAAACCTTGATTGTGTTCAAAATCCCAGAAACCTTTTTATTTAATCATCTGAGGACCGTGGTACGAGCCTCAGCCGTTCTTTTTCTTTTAATAAAACAAGGAGCGTGGAAACGAACCTTCAACTCAATCTTCCTTCTGGTGCAGAGACGAAAACGTGACGCGGGAATTTCAGTGTAACAGATGCAAGAGTCAGAAATGATAGTTGAACAAAACAGATTTTTTATACTTCCTCCTGTCTCAGATATCTAAATGCAGCACTTTTTTTTATCAGAACTGACATTTTCTGCAGAAGTGTTTTCAGAACAGCTTTATGATGTCTGAGCAGAGTTAAACAGGAGCAGGTGCAGGTGGACATGATTTGCGTATTCATAAATCGGTGCATTTTAAATGAGGGAAAGTTGTGAAGMTACATTCCGGGTCACTTTAACACAGGAGGTGATTTCCACTTCTGAAACAAGTTTCTGAATCTGACATTTTTATGAGCAGAGAAAAGCTGGAGGTTTGATCAGTTCGGAGACAGAAGTCAGAAATCTGTGGATTGTCAGTTTTTTTATAAAGGTCTGATGAAAGAGAAGTCATGTTTTTGGTTCAGTTTTGAGTTTTTCAGCAGATCGTAGTTCAGAACTAGTTTTATGAAGATCAATCAACATTTTATTTTAATATTTGACCAGCTCCTATCTCACAGATCCAGTTCACAAATTCAACATTTYATACATCAATTAATAATAAAGAGAGACTGTCATGGGTTGAACACTGTGTTTTGTCCTAAGGCCACTGTGGGAAGACRTTTGCCATCTTAAAGCGTTTCCTGAGTCAGACTGCGAGGACAGTTGATTGGCTACTGGTTGTTGATGATGATACTCTCATCAGGTAATGTAGAAAGTTGATTTTTTAAATAAATAAATCTTTTATATCCAAGGAAGCAATAGCATAAATCAAAAAATAATCCAAATCAAAACTGTACTTAGTTGAAAAAGTAAGGAAATGAATATTTRGTAGAGTTATTCTTTGTTGTAGCAATGCTTCTTAGTAATAAACCTTATACTAATGGAAAGCCTGTTAGTGTCCCTTTTAAATGGTGCCACATGCATTTGTGCAGAGTTGTAAAGTAACTAAGTACAAACACTTTGTTATTGTAATTAAGTAGAAATTTTGGTTAACTGTACTTTACTTGAGTAATTTGTACTTTTTACTTTTACTCATTACATTTTTACACAATTATTTGTACTTTCTACTCCTTACACTTTTTAAAATGGTAAGAAGTAGAAAGTCGTTACTCCTATTTTATTCTGTATAGTTA